CAGAGTGCATGGAGCTGAAACCGTTTGGCTAAAAAACGTGGAGCGGAGCTGAAAAACGTGGAGCGGAGCAGTCCCAAACACGCCCTAAGCAAAGTAACTAACAAGGCTACTCAAGCCAAATTAGTTACGCAAGGGAGCTACTTCTATGCTACATAAGCAAGAAAGTAACTAGCAAGCTACACAAGCTAACTAATTACAAGAGCAACTACACAAGCACAATATATATGAAAATAAATACAAGCTTGTGTATGAGGAATTGCAAACCAACGGGAAGATGATGACACGGTGATTTTTATCCCGAGGTTCATGTGCTTGTCAACACGCTAGTTCCCGTTGAGACCAGCTCCAAGGTTGCCACCGGTCCTCTTGCTAGCGGTGACCCGCAAGTCACACTCTCCCATGTGGAGTGCTTACCACAAGCTCTAGCACTTGACATGCCCGAACCACTTGTCGCCCTTCGTGTCTCGCTCTACTAGAGCTGCTCTTTGCGGCTCCCGCAGGCGAGCACAACATCCCTCACAAGCTCTTTTCCGGAGCACTGCACAATCACCACGTGGACTTCGCAGCGGAGACCACAATCCACCGAGCCGTCTAGGTGATGGCAATCACCAAGAGTAATAAGAAATCTTCAATCACAAAGATTTTCTAGTGCCACCAAATATAAATCACGAATGCACACATTAGGCTCTCAACCCTCACTCAAATTAGCACCAAGCTTGAGAGGGAGAGGAAGGGGAAGTAGTGGATCTTCAATCTCTCATCCACACGCACAAAGGGCACTCAACCTCTCCTAGAAATCTTTAGCTCAAATCATGGGAGAGAGAGAAAGGAGAGAAGAACCCTAGCTCTTGGATGCAACAATGGGGAATGAACTCAAGGAGGAAGAAGAGAGAAGGGGAGGCAGCCTTATCCCCTCACGCACAACCTCCCTCAGCTCTCAGCCTCGCACTAGAAATTCAAGTCGGCGCGGCATGGAAATTTCAGTGCGGGAGTAGCCCAAACGCCCCCAACGGCTAGAATGGGAGGACTTCCGCACTGGAAATTCCAGTGACAGTCTGGAATTTCTTGGGCACGAGCGCTCCACACACCTGGTGTGCCTTCCACACTAGAAATTCCAGCTCGGACCAACTATAATTTCAGTTAATTACGCCAAACCAACAGAGCACCCCTAACTAGAATAATAAGCCCAGTGAGCAAGAAATTCCAGTGGCAGTCTCAAACTTTCCTTTTTCACCCTTTCTCAAGGCACTAACTCCTCCAAGGTACTAAACCAAAATTAGCACTTGAGTTAGCATTTTCATAAAGAATTTTTTCGGGCTTTCTCATGCACCTCACCACGTCACTAAGCGCAATGCATATGCACATGAAACTCACACTTAGTGGCACTAGATAACCGTTGCAACTAAAATATTTCCTCTCTTTATAGTACGGCTATCTATTCTAAATCCGGTCAAGCACTTCTCTACTCAACTTAGACCGGTAAAATAAAATGTCCTATATGTTATACCTTTGCCTTACGCATTCCATTCCATCTCCTACAATATTGATGCCACACATGCACCAACCTCAATCACCAATGATATGATCCACTTCATATCGTCACGTGACATTGTTGGTTCATCGATCTTGACCTTACTTGCTTTTCACCGTTGCCATCGTCCATCGGCGCCAAGTCTTGCTCAAGATTCACCACCACACGGTCCATCACTCCAAAGCCTCCAAGTTGCCCTTCACGCTTGCAACCGGTCCATCAAGCCAAGTCTTATCTTGATCTTCTCCACCTTAGTTATATGACTCCATGTCATGTCTCATATGCAATGTAGTCCTTCAACACATGTGTGAGACTTGCAACAAATCCAAGCCATCTTCATTGTCATGGCATGAGTTACTCACACAAGTGTACCTGGACTAATCACCTGTGTATCTCACATTTAAACACATTACTCCATCTAGGTTGTCACTCAATTACCAAAACCAAACAAGGACCTTTCAGTGAGCACCAACTCAGTAGCGGGATTGTTACCCCAAAGTCCAAATGGCTCATATCAACTTTGCATGCTGAGTGAACCACACGCAACCACCAACCTACTTACGTATTCGTTCTCGCTTCATTTAAAAGGGTTAACTCGTGGATGGTGATATGCCGATATGGACTCTAGAAGCCTAATATGTTGGTTTAACTCACCCTCAACAATCAAGGTGGGACTAAACCCCAACAAACTTACATAAATATACAAATGGGTCACTATATGCTCAATCTAAACTAGGCCAGATATCACAAGTTGTCACTTGTATTCAAACTAAATAGGATCAGGTATGAGGTGATTACATAACACTTGTTCTGTCGTTGAAGTCACTTGAACTTCTACGTTGTCTAGGTCATTAACAGATAAATGCAAGAAAAGAAGACTATATAAGATTCAACTAATTCCAAACTAGGTGCCATAAGATGGACATGAGTTTGGAAAATTTTAAACTAGTTTCATTTTTTAGACTTAAATAAATTTTATATGAATTCTTTAATATTAAATCATATTTCATCGTATGGGTTTTTTAATATTTTTTATATATTTTTTGATACGATCCATTTAACCATTGAACTATAAATAGTTTGATTTATCCCGCCCCTCGTGGCTAAAGTGCTACCAAATCAGCACGTCTAGCGTCTGACCGATGCCATGTCAGACAAAACTGAGCAATTTCGACCGTTTTCAAAAGTTGGAGGAGAAGAATCAAAGTTCAAGCAAAGTTGAAAGGGGTAAGAACTCTCGCTTTCTAAACAGGTCCTAGTTGTCACTATGGGCATGGGCTCAATATTTAGCAGACAAGTGACTCTTTGTGATCCATAAAAACCTAGAAATGGGCCAAATGTTTAGTACAGTAGTGAGCTCCTTTGCGACAGGCCAATGGGCTCATATCCCACTTACATTCAACAAACTAATTTTTATTTTTTTCTTACTTCTATTTTTCATAGAAGTTTCCAGTTTGGATACAATCATATCATTGTTGGGTTTATCGGATTACAGGAAACTAGTATAGTAGCAACGAAAAACAAACAACACTAGCTAATAGAATCAAAAGGCTTCAAACTATCTTGGCCCAAAAACTACTCCTAGGACTAACGTCACAGTAGATGTTCTAGGTTCTCTTCACTTTTCTTGTCTTGATGGTCAACAGAGTTCTTGAATTGACTTGAGTAATCCTACAAATGAACTCGATCAATGGCCTTCAACAATCTCCTCCATTTCTGTAGACTGTAGTAAAGCGAAATATTTACACATGACATCAAATGATGACAGAGAGAATTTATGTTCCATAAATGCATTTTAGTTTAAATGTATACAAAATAAAAAGTCATTGGAACAACAAATTTTGATGGAACAATAGATTTTATAGTCGGAGCCATCCTAAATATGGTATGGAACAATAGGTTTTCATAGTTGGAACATTATAAATATAATATGGAACAACAACTTTTCACAACTACAACAATCCAAACTACAAAACAATGTTTTTTTCATGGGTAGGAGAATCCAAACATACCACGAAACAATAAGATAGACACTTGTGGGATAAAAAGCTTTTACCGTTGAAAAAAGTTTATTAGAGCGATTCGAAAAGACTCTATATCCTTCCTAACTGGTAAGGAAATAGAGATTTTGATAAAAAAAAATCCTCCAACGGCTTCTTTATTTAGTTTTTAAATATAGCTTTCTTTTATTCTGAATTTCTTGCTAGCCAAAGATATCAAACGAGAATGTCTCTTTAGAGCACACACAAGATATAGAAAAACTTATTGAAGAGCGAAATGATATAGAAAACGATTTATATGGAAATGATTCTCAATGGTAATTTAGAGTGTGAACTTTAAAATGACTCTTGAAGATGATCTTACACATGAATGACTCATTCATCAAATTCTAGGTAACTATTTGTTAGGAATATAGTTTCTACGTGTGTAATATCTACACAAATTAAATAGACATAGAAACTACCTATGATTTCTAACATTGGGCTACCCTCACCTGCTAAAATTTAATCGAGGTCATTAGTTTATGAGCCAGCTAATATCTTACCCATCATCCAGCTAAAGTTAGCTGGGTGTACTTAAACATGGCCTTAAATCAGGGAACATCCGATGATTAGTTGGGCGTAACGTCTATCAACAAAACCACAGCTAAAGTGGGTCTCCACGAGCAAAGACCACGGTTGAAGAGTCACGTACACGTACAGTAGTGCTACCAATATCTTCCGGTGGCGATGGAAATATCTTTAGGTCACGTTCGGGAAAAAGAAATATCTCAGGTCGTCGTCCTTTCTCACTTTTTCGTTGCCGGCGTGGTGTGGGCGTGTGGCCACCCGTCCCCTATCCTCTCCCGCACGGGGGCGTCCTATATAAGGAGAGGAAAAATCTGCCACTCCACACTCGCGCTCCTCTCTCGCCGTCGCCGATCATCGCCACCTCGCGTCCAGACCCGCCGTTCCTCCGAGGTGAGAAACCTTGCGCATTTCATCCGATGACGTTCCCGTTCGCGTCATGTAGTCCGGTGCCCTCGTCTCTTCGATCGGCTTCGGTTTTCAGTTTCGCCTGCTACACAACCCCTGACCCCGACGCACACGCATCGCGCGGCCTCCCGGTCGACGAGCCTCCGCGGCTGACATGCCCGCGACTGGTTCCGTCCTCCGGCGACTTTCAGTGTGTTCATCCCCTTTCTCATCCTCGATGTAGTCTGTTTCTTCGGTTCTTTGCTCGATTTGCTTTGTTCCCACTTCCCTTCCTAATCTAGTGTCATTCGATGCGCGATTCGTCGCCCCTCATCGCTGCCTCAACCCTTTGGTCACCACCGGGGAGAGCTGCTGTTGGCGGCTAGGGTTCGTTGTCTTCCATTAAAACAATTTGCAAATACGAGTTCGTGGGCTGGTGGCCTAGTGACCTACTGGGGTATTCATGGGCCTATGTGGGCTTCTGGGCCTTCCTGTGAGTGTGATGGACAAGGAAAATGGCGCTCTTTGCTGTTCTGCTAGAAATCTTCCATGGGCAACGGAATTTCGGTGTCCTCGGTCGTTCAGTTTTGAAAATCGAGAAGTATATATTATTCCAGCCTATTTCAATGTGTTGCCTCACTATTTTGTACCTTGATCAGGAAATGGCTGCACTGCAACCCTCATTTTCACCAGCAATGGCTTTGAAGAGTAGCTGCAGCGGCCTGAAGTTCCCGAAAACTGCACTGTTACCTGGTTTTGGTGGCATTCCACGCCTTCAAGACGTGCAAGACAGGAACGCTGGCTTCGCTTGTTTCATCCCCAAGGCTGCTTCAGCGACTGACCAGTCAATAGCAGAGCCATCGAAACCCAAGCAAAGCAGGCACACAGTCGACCCTACAGCTCCAGAATTTCTGCCGCTCCCATCTTTTGAAGAATGCTTTCCAAGGAGTACCAAAGAATCAAGGCATGATGTGCTTTCTCGTTTCACCTTATGGCTATTCTTGGACATGCTAACAGCCTAATATAGCTTATCTTTGTCTGTGGGTTATGCTATTCAGTGAAATCATCCACGAGGAATCTGGTCATGTCCTCAAGGTTCCATTCCGGAGAGTCCATTTGACTGGAGATCAGAAGCACTTTGATACATATGACACCAGTGGTCCTCAAAATATAAGCCCAAGGATTGGTAACTCACTGGCCTTGCTTCATTTTTGTGTCTTCAATTGCTTTGTCATTCTTTTTAGTTGTGTTCACATATCTTCAAATTGATATACAATTTTTTATTTTATTATTTTTAAAAAGCTCAGATTGGAGTAGTTAACCTAGTTTTCAGAAAAAGGGCGATAATATGAATTATATATATCCTGCAAACTGTGATACACGAATTTCCTTATAAAACTACATGTGATAGTATCAAACAACAAAATAAGCACTGATAAACCAGAATAACCTATAGAAGTGTTGACATCACTCTGTTGCTGGCTATTTTTCAATTCCTTTGTCTATGCACTGTTCTGCTTTATATACCAATATATTTTGAGAAAGACCCTATCAAGCTGTATTCTCTTAAAAGAAGTTCTATTGCTCTACAGCATACAACTTAACACACTATGCAGTTTATAATAAGCATTCAAATATTTGGCAGGACTCCCAAAGATAAGGAAGGAATGGATTGATAGGAGGGAAAAGCTGGGTAGTCCTCGGTACACACAAATGTATTATGCCAAACAGGGAATCATAACAGAGGAGATGTTATACTGTGCCAGCCGTGAGAACCTTAGTCCTGAATTTGTTCGGACAGAAGTTGCCCGTGGACGAGCCATAATTCCTTCCAACAAGAGGCACCTGGAATTGGAACCCATGATAGTTGGAAGAAACTTCCTTGTAAAGGTGAATGCAAATATTGGGAATTCAGCTGTTGTGAGCTCCATTGAGGAGGAAGTTCACAAGCTCCAGTGGGCCACAATGTGGGGAGCTGATACTGTCATGGACCTTTCAACAGGGCGTCATATCCATGAGACCCGGGAATGGATTATTCGCAACTCTCCGGTTCCTATTGGGACTGTTCCTATTTACCAAGCACTTGAGAAAGTAAATGGCATTGCTGAAAACCTGAGCTGGGAGATCTTTAGGGATACCTTGATTGAACAAGCTGAGCAGGGTGTTGATTACTTCACAATCCATGCTGGTGTCCTGCTTCGTTACATTCCTCTTACAGCAAAGAGAATGACGGGCATAGTTTCACGTGGTGGCTCAATTCATGCAAAATGGTGCTTAACTTATCACAGGGAGAACTTTGCATATGAACATTGGGATGACATTCTTGACATATGCAATCAGTATGATGTGGCATTATCAATTGGTGATGGTTTGAGGCCTGGTTCCATTTATGATGCGAATGATAGTGCACAGTTTGCAGAACTGCTGACTCAAGGTGAACTAACACGTCGAGCATGGGCAAAAGATGTGCAGGTGAGAATAAAATTCCTATTTTTATTATATATATACGTAAATACAAACATGGTTTTCACTTCAAAATGCATAAGGTAAATGATTAATTTAAGATAGTGCATATGCAGACCTGGTCATAAAAATATTAGATATTGCAACGAAAATGCGAGTTTGACTAAATCATGTACGATTGACAAAGCTATTCTGTTGCACTATAACCAAATATGATTGCTGGATATACATATTGCATATCAAGCATGAAAGATGAGGTCTAGCTGTGTAGCATCTAACCAGTGATCTACTCTTAGTTTGGTAGCAGTATGTTTAAATTATATGTATTGAAAGTACAGCAATTTACCTTTGTTATGAAGCTTGTCTAGGAATTTCCTATTTTTACTTACACCCTTCAAGAGTTTGTCTTGAAGGGCGGGCCTGGTGCAAGCGGTAGAGTCTTATCGCCTATGACCGGAAGGTCCCTGGTTCGAGTCGCGGTCTCCTCGCATTGCACAGGCGAGGGTAAGGCTTGCCACTGACACCCTTCCCCAGACCCCGCACAGAGCGGGAGCTCTCTGCACTGGGTACGCCCTTCAAGAGTTTGTCTTGATCAACATACCAGCAAAATACTGTACGTTTGGAACCCTTGATTTATAGATGATGGTCTCTAAATGTTATCCATTTTTAAGTTTCCTTCTTTTTTATTCGGTATGTAACTCACTTTAGACCACTCTCCCTGACATGTATCTACTTTTAGGTGATGAACGAAGGCCCAGGTCACATCCCAATGCATAAAATTCCTGAAAACATGGAGAAACAGCTGGAGTGGTGTAATGAAGCGCCTTTCTATACATTGGGTCCTTTGACAACTGATATTGCACCTGGTTATGATCACATCACCTCAGCCATTGGTGCTGCCAACATTGGAGCTCTTGGCACTGCGCTTCTTTGCTATGTAACACCAAAGGAGCACCTTGGGTTGCCTAATCGTGATGATGTCAAGACTGGTGTAATATCCTACAAAATTTCTGCTCATGCTGCTGATTTGGCAAAGGGTCATCCCTATGCACAAGCTTGGGATGATGCACTTAGCAAGGCAAGGTTTGAGTTTAGATGGCTTGACCAATTTGCTTTATCTCTGGATCCGGTAACTGCTATGGCTTTCCATGATGAAACATTGCCTTCTGAGGGTGCCAAAGTGGCACATTTCTGCTCAATGTGTGGGCCCAAGTTTTGTTCAATGAAAATCACGGAGGATATCAGGAAGTATGCTGATGAAAATGGTTATGGAACAGTAGAGGAAGCTGTGATACAAGGAATGAATGCTATGAGTGCTGAATTTTTGGCTGCAAGGAAAACAATTAGTGGGGAACAACATGGTGAAGCAGGAGGGGAGATCTATGTACCAGAAAGCTATGCAACTCAGAAATAAGGTCAGTCTGTTATCATGTAGAGTTTGCCTTGCAAATGCTCATCCATGAAAGTTCTGTTCTGAAGATGTATGATCTTTTAAGAAGCATGAAGTAATCTATGATATAGTCATGTGATAATATTTAAAATATTTCAACAAACTTCACATATGTAAGAGAGTATATAAATGAACTTTAGCAGACTTGATACATCAGTACAGAGTAATAATACATGCTAGTCAGTTAGCATGGACACAGCATTTTTTTCTGAATTTGCAGAAGTGATGAGTGCTTTGGAAATTAGAAGTTCTCTTGGATCAATAACCATGTGGCTCATATCTTATATATGAAATGTTTCAAAAAAAAAATTAAGTATATGATCGTAAATTTTGAGCCATGTATATTTTTGTTCTTCTATTTTTGCATTGTTAATTATTGGATATAGATCTCATGCAGGACGCAGTGCTTCCACCCTAAAAAAGTATTTGTATTATGCAATTTTTAGTGATATCATTTTCTATTCTCTGCTGAAACTCTTATTTGTATCTTTATGGAACTTCATCAAACTATTAATTTATTAGGCTTTGCATTCTTTGTAGTTTTGAATATAGAAGCTCTTTTACTCAGAATTGCAAAATTCATGTAGGTTTCCTCAGAGCCATCCATTCCAAGTGAGGCAGATGTGCTGGCTAGTGGCTAGGGCATTCATCAGCAGCAGTTCTACCATCTTATCTAATGAGATGGTAAGCAGTATGTGAATAAAGCTGGTGTTGCTTACCTTCAGTTTGTAAATGCCATTATGTACTGTAATAAAAAAAACTCTGTATTGTGCTCCCTAGCATTATATTTATGCTTTAGGTCGTCTTTGTATCACACTGGGATTGGTAGTGATGAAAATTGCACCAGGGGTGCCTGTGTTCTCAACAGTCTGAGAGCCTCTTAGCCTGGACTGTTGTGAGATGGGCTGAGAAAGTCCCTTTGAACCTGAACAGGATAATGCCTGCGAAGGGAGTGTGCAATTCTATTTTCATGTTTTCCAGGAACCTATCAACCTTTCGGTGGAAATTGAGGTATTGTCCATGATTGCGTGGAGCTCATCAACCAGGCCTACCTGTTCTCTACACAGCGTCTTGTTAGCATTTCTCCAAGGGGGGAGAATCTTAACAGGTATCAGCTTCATCATGACACCTAACATTTAATTTATAATGTGCAAATCATTTAGTTAAATCTACACATCCATGAAATTTGTCAAAGCATTTGCTAGTCCTATATAATCTAGTTCTACATCTATCTGTTCTTTGATTGTGCGCTCCATCTATTCTTTGATGAAGCTTGTGAGTTCTACTTTCTAGACCTATATTGAGATAGGACCTTTGGGTACGGTACAATATCAAGACTGCTTTTGGAAAGGGAGTATATTTACAGTAGTACAAAAGGAGATGGCTAAAACTGCTACAATTTTTTTAGATGGATATGATGATGTTTGTCAATTGAGGGTGGAAAGTACCTGCCATCATATAGTTAAATGGGAATCTCGTATATTGATAAATAACTAAGAAAGTGGTTTTTGTCAACTACGTTTTCCCGTTCTCGTGGGTTTTTCAAATAGGTGTGCTTAAATATTTCACAAAGCCTTTTTAAATAATATTGTAAAATTCTCATCTGAACATTTTTCAAGTCCAGTATTATGCATGATAATTTACATATGCATGTTGTCTGAAAGCAGAAGCAGAATCTCAAAGCACCTGCTAATTCAAAACAAAAATAGATTGTAACTTCGAAGTTGCTGCATTGGTGAAGAATAATATATTTAGTTTTACTTTCAGCTAATTGCACAATTGTCATTTACATTCAAAAAAAAATTGCACTATTGTCATGTTTCACTGCCTGCTTCACACTTGGCTGTATTCTGCATTATACCTATGTTCATATCCGACTGCCATGGCCGATGTGAGATGTTAAATGTGTCGGTGAAGTAAATAATTCTGCTGTGGCTTTTGCGCTCTCTGTGATTCCAGTGAGCTATTCCCATTTGCAAATCTAAGATCAACTCTGATTGTTTCCATAAGGCGGATTTCCAAATCATGTGGAGTTGAGCTGGGCACCTAATTTCTTGACGTTGCTGCTCAAGTTCTCATGTTGTCAGTTATCACAATATCCCTTATAAGTGCTTCCCAAGCAAATTTGACATGTTAATTATTATAAACTTCCATTTTGGTTTATATGGAACCGAGGAATTCTATCTGAATGTCTCAGTATAGTTTCGTTATGGATTAAGGACCCATGCTGCTTTACTGGTCTACCTGCTTCGTACTGTTCTGTGTATTATTATTCTGCTTTATTCAAACTCAAATTACCAAACAGAGGCAAAGATCTCAAGAACAGGTTTATGAACCTTCACTTTCACGTGAAAACAAACAGAGATTTGTTCTTACAAAAGATTTAGAATTCTAAGCCTTTATCATTCCAGTATATCGAATTTTGGTCAAGTAGTATCTTGTTTGTGCACGTAACTCAACTGCTAGGAAATTATATTCCTTTCATATTCAAGGCTCAATTTCTGTGCTTTTCCTCGAGAATCCACTGCATCCAGCGCCGACTGGTCCAATTCTGGTTTAGTGATAAATTTCGTACCGCGAGAAGTGTAGAGCTGGTCACAGCGTCTTGTCAGATATGCGTAGCATTATAATCTTTCCCCTTTCTTCCATTATTATTATACTACCTAAAAAAAGTCATTCTAGCTATGCATTTAGACATATATTTAGGCTCTGTTTAGATCCTATGGGCTACCAATTAATTGCTAATTTTAGTCATTCAGAATCCAAACAGGAGGGTCAATGTGTGAACTAATTTTTAGCCAAACTGCCAACTAGTTGGCCAACCAACCCATGGTTTCCATGGGTAGTTTGTAGAGGAGAGAGCGCAATAAATATCACATAGCCTAACCCATAGTTAAGATAGTGGTTTTTACGTAGAGAAAAGTTTAATGACCCCTACATGCATCATAAAAGAGAGGTGGATCAGTTAGACCAGTCTTAGTGGGGATTTCATGGTCCTGTTATCAATGCATCCATATTTTAGAAATAGTGCAGAAGAGTTTTATCCCCATGAAACTCTCTCTACTCTCATGAAACTCTTATCATCTCTTTTTTCATCAATACGGTGCCACATCAGCCTATTTAATGCCTCCATGAAACTCCACTGAGACTGGCCTTATAGCAAACAACTAAGTAGCTAGTGTGCTTTATATCTTTTGCTCCACTGTACTCCGGAAGTCTATAAAGATAATACTCCCTAACGCTGGTAGAACAGAACAAGAGAAATAATTATACTACTTTCCCTCTAGATTTTTATAGCAAAGTGACAACCAAAAGCGGAAGTATTACTTTGCTAAACAAATCATGCTTTGTTAGAAGAGGGTTTAGGAATTCATGACATGGATATTAAAAACACTGCACGTCTTAGTAAATAGCTTTTCAAGTTACTTACAACAGATGGGACTTGGCAGCAAATAATTCATAATATGTATTTTGGTTCTAAGACATTATCCCATGTTTATTGGGGAAATGGTCACATTTTTAGGATACTCTTATGAAGGTGAAAAAGAAGGTGCAACCTAGTGTTGGTCATAGGTGTTGTACACTTTGAAAGACACCTGCTATGCCTTCTACAACATATGAACCACGGATGGTACAAGACCCATTTTAGAGTACAGGGCCACAAAAGCCCAACATTTAGTTTGTAGGCAGCCTCACAGTTGAGATGTCATAAGTTTTCATTGTCCTATTAAGGCATGAGTACCTACTTTCAAATGGATCTTGTCTAGAGCCTCAATATCACAACAGCGTGCTAGTGTCCGGACGTCCGGACAGACTCCCGCGCCTGCACTCTGTTTTGTGTGCTCACGTAGGAGCCCATGCCACCCCGAACTTCACCAACATCGAGAAGAGGGAGTGATGAGCCCATGGCTCATCAAGTTATTCAATTTGGCTCATTTTTATTTGATGCAAAGATAAACAAGATAAAGGAAGGGATCCTAGGTAATACTACAAGATTCGGGACCAAGTTTATTTTTCAAGGAATTAATTTCCACAAGAGACATGAGGTTAAAATTAAAAGATTTATTCTGATTGGTGAAATGCATGTCGAGATGCCAAGCTGAAGGATTTTTGGGTTTATTATATTCATTTGCAGCCCAAAGTGAGCCCATGCTGGATACGAAGCTGAAGGATTTTTGGGTTTATTATATTCATTTGCAGCCCAAAGTGAGCCCATGCTGGAGCTGGATACATATTAGCATATTTTTTGTTTAGTGTTTGGGAAAATAGAGTCCAGTTCATTTAGTTTAGTTTATTGGAGTCCATTACGTCCGGTGCTGCATGCTTAACGTGGAGTCGGTCTTTGGCTGGCCTGCGATCCATATAGCCTGGGCGCCGCACTTAACAGGGGAGGTTGGATTTTATTTGTGGAGTTATTCCTCGTCGAGCCGCCGCTCGGAAAACCCTAGATGGTGTTCCCATCAGGTTTGTCTTGAAGATTGTTTTCTAGATTCTTGTGATCTGTGTGTGCGTGATCAAGCTGCTACGGCTTGGGTGCGTCGCTTGGATTTCTTGTTGAGATTCCTCCTCTTCTGATCGTGGTTCGTCGTGGTTGCGGGTGGAAGAAGTTATCTAGGGTTTGGTTTGCAACTCTTGTAAGTCGACCCTTTATCTGGTTACTGAACGTGTTGCTGCGGTATCGGGTTGATTGATTTTGCTTGGCCGACATATATAGCAATTTTATTCAGCCCATTGGCTTCTTTATTAGTGCCGAATTCAACATCCTGTTATTGCTAGAATATTTGAGTCCGAATCAATTTTCTATTCCTGCATTGAACAATCAAGAAGGGCTCTTGCTTCTTGTGCCGACCATCATTTATCTAGGGTATAGCAGACGCCTAGTGCAATATTGACAAACTTTATTACAGAGAAGCTAGCGTCCTGAGCATTACGTTGGTACTTGTGTTTTATTGGTCAGTCGCTAC